CATAACTTTTGAATGGAAAGGGATAGGGCTTTCATACTTCAAATATTTAATCCTTGTGAGAGGACCCTCTATTGGATACCAAGAACTTTGACCTTGACCTATGAGTTTGACCTACTTTAAAAAAACAAAAATTGACCATAACATTTAAAGGATTAGGGCTAGTGCTTTCATACTTTACATATTTTTTTCTTGTGACAAGACCTTTCATTTGATAACAAGAACTTTGACCCTTTGACCTTGACCTTGGAGTTTGAACTACTTTAAAAAAAATTAGCCTTGGCCATAACTTCTGAACGGATAGGGTTAGGGCTTCCATACTCTACATAAGTATTCTATGTGGCAAGACCTTTCATTGTATACCAATTACCTTCACCTTTTGACCTTGACCTTGGTGATTTTTGTACTTATTTAAAAAACTCTAACATTGGCCTACTTTCAAATTTCACAATTGTTTTCCAGTGAGAATACCCTACTTTTGGTACCAATTAATTAAATTTGCATTAAGAAAAGTTTAATCTTCGCTATGTTGCCATACGGGGGCATCAGTGTTTAACAAACACATCTTGTTTTTTTTTTTTTTTTTTTGGAAAGTTCTTGTCACAGGTAGAGCACATGTGAAATATGAAAGCTCTATCTTGTTTCATTCAAAAGTTATGACCATTGAAGGTTTAAAGAGCCATAGCGCATTTGATAGTCACTTTCGCCTACTCTAGTAGTGATTTTTTTAAATACATTGCTTAACCAAAAATTTGTCATACAATGTTAGTTTATATTTGCGTTAAAGCAAATCACACAAAAATAATCATGTTCTTTCAGCCGACAAGACCAGAAAAATTTAGTCGCCCGACCATCGGCTTAAATGTGACCTAGGCATTACAGGGGCATAAAAAATCGGCCGACTCAAGTATTTAAAAGGAAATCACCTGTTTCTCTTTTTGTGACAGACTGATACTCATGTGAGATTTAATGTCCTCTCACTTTGGTGATTTTTTATGCCCCTGTAATGCCTAGGTCACATTTAAGCCGATGGTCGGGCGACTAAATTTTTCTGGTCTTGTCGGCTGAAAGAACATGATCGGCCGATACAGTACCGGGCAACACTGAGCAGTCACATTAATTCCTAGGGACATCAATGACTTGGATAAATAACACAAAAAATCTTTTTTCTTTAGAATTCAGCAATATTTTTTCATAGATCTATATTCAAATAGGTGACGTCAGTAATGTTTGCAAGGCAAAGTGGCAGAATCTTATAAAATTGTGACTCGATGAATGTTGAAAATGTGTGCAAAATTTTGTATGGAATTGCATAACAACGACAAATGGTGCATATCTAATCAGCAAAGAATACTTTAAAGATTTCTTTATATCTTACGGATTAATTATTCATGTTATTTCCGTTCAAAAAATTTATATCAATCCATGCATCAAAATTTTGTTTGTGTTATGTATCCTTACTAGGTTAAATATTCACAAGTCGGCCAATCGTCGTCCGATCATCGAGCACTGAGCTACAATTTGATTTTAACCGTCGGCCGAAATTTTGAATACCCTTACTGTCGAATGACGGACGACCGACTTTATAAACTGACTTCCGATGGTCGGACGATGATCGAAGGTTGGTCGACGGATAACTTCAATTGAAGGAATCGGCCACCGACGCATAAAAAATTATAACTTGGACCGATAGACACAAAATTGGTCGGCCGACAAAAAAAGAGGTCAAAATCGGGCAAGACAACGGCCGATGAACTGACGAATGTCACCCGAAGAATCCCATTTTTGCTTCAAAACCCGTCTGCCGTTGGTCGTTTTTGGAAATGTGACTGGGGTTTAAAGATAAGGGGTCTATAATTTTTGCTCCGTCTGTTCCTCTGCCTTAATGTCCACAAAATCTTTATCCTGGCTATAACTTTTGAGTGTGTATGGCTTTGGCTTTCATATAAATTTCACAGGTGTATTCCTTGTGACAAGACCATCAATAATTTTGACCTCTTGACTTTAAAGTTTGACCCACTTTTGCCAAAATTTTATTCAACTTTTAACTTTGGCCATAATTTTGAACAGTTGGTGCCAATGCTTTCATATCTCAGAGAAGTATTTTTTGTGACAAGACCTTTCAATGGGTGTAAATATTTTTGACCTTAATTTTTACTTGACCATCGATTTTAACCCACTTAAAAAAAAAAAAAAACCCTTGGCCATTACTTTTCGATGTATTAAATACTTGACTTTCACACTTCACATGTGTATTCCTTGTTTGACAAGAATTTCCTTTGAATATCGATAAGTTAAACCATTTGACCCAGGAGTTTGAATTTCTTTTGGTACTTGCTCTTAACTTTTGACAGGGTAGGGATGTGGATTTCATATTTCATGGTTTTATTCCTTGTGAAAAGACCGTTCCTTGCATTCCACCAATTTGATCTCTTGACCTTGATGTTTGACCCTCATTTACAAAACATAAAAAAAAAAAAAAAAAGAAAAAGAAAAAAAAAAGAAAGAAAGAGAAAAAAACAACAACAAACAAACTTGAATCTTGTTTATAACCTTTGATCTGAACAATTGTACATGTATCCACAGGTGTATTTCTTGTGAAAAGGCCTTCCTCTCGATACCAACAATTTGACCTTGGAGTTTGACTTGGATTTGAGAAACTTCAATCTTCGCCATAAACTGCCATCAGTGTTCCACAAACACATCTTATTTTATAATAAGGTAATCCACCAGTTCCATTAATTCTTACCCTTTGGCATTGACATTTGACCCACTTCTTAAAAACTTTAAAAAATCATGGCTGTAACTTGGCATTTAACATTTCAAATACATTGTACATATTCATTGACACAAGTCTTTTTTTTTTTTTTAGTAAGAACACTTGATTTCTTGACCTTGGAGTTTGACTTGCAATTTGAGAAACTTCAATCCTCCCCATAATCTGCAATACAGGAGCATCAGTGTTTCACAAATACAATTTTTAGCTCACCTGAGCCAAAGGCTTAAGTGAGCTTTTCTGATCACATCTTGTCCGTCGTCCGTCCGTCTGTCTGTAAACTTTTCACATTTTCGACTTCTTCTCATGAACCACTGGGCCAATTTTGACCAAACTTGGTACAAAGCATCCTTGGGTAAAGGGGAATTTAAATTGTTAAAATGAAGGGCCAAGTCCCCTCACAAGGGGAGATAATCAAGAAAAGACAAAAATAGGGTGGGGTCATCAAAAAATCTTCTTCTCAAGAACCACTGGGCCAATAAAGCTGAAACTTACATGGAATCACCCTGGAAGGTGTAGATTCTAAATTGTTCAAATCATGACCCCCGGGGCTTGGGCGGGGCCACAATGGGAATCAATGTTTTACATGGAAATATATAAGAAAAAAGTACGTAAGGGTTGCCCGCAACCCTGTGTCTCGCCTGCTGTCGCTGTGGTTAGTAAGAAATGATTGTCTGATAAACTGAAGCATTATACAAAAATATCTGTAAAAGAATGGAAACAATCCTGAAATACAATAATAAAGAAATGGAACAGCTGACTTAATATCTAATCCCTTGGCGATTATATTGGCATTTATATATATATACATATACCCTGTAAATTCACAAATTATTGTGATGTTTTTATTATTGCGAATATTGCAACGTGTTATGAGTCGCAATAATTTGAACTTGCATTTTGAAATCAAATCCACTGTATATGTATCAAATTCAAGAAAATGTAGGTGAAGATTACCTAATTATGGTACTGATATTGTTGGTTACCCATGATGTGTAGACTGACAAATTATCATGCCACTATAAGTTATAGTTGCTGAGATATGGACCTCCACCATAAATTTATGCAAAGTCACTCACTGTAGGTCCAATAATGTATCCACTGACAAATTATCATGCCACTATAAGTTATAGTTGCTGAATATGGACCTCCACCATAAATTTATGCAAAGTCACTCATGGTAGTGTCAAGATGACCTAATTCTGGTACAGGCGTTTGTGGTTACCCATGATGTATCCACTGACTATTGTTATAGTTGCTGAAATATGAACCTCCATTATCAATTTAACCAAAGTCATTCATGCAGAAAAATGTAGGTCAAAATGACCTAATTCTGGTACTGATGTTGTTGGTTACTTATAACCTGTACAATGACAAATCATCATGCCATTATAAGTTATAGAATGAATGTTTTAACCAAAGTCACTCATGGAAATATATAAATTCTGAAAATGATGTATCCACTGACTAATTATCATATCCCTATAACTTATAGTTGCTGGAATATAGGTCTTCACCATAAATTATCATGAAAAAACTAAGTCCAACTTATGTAAAAAATACGGAAAAATTTGAATTTTTTTTTTCAAAATCATACTTGGGATATAAATTTTTATCCATACTGAATATTGTGTCCAAATTTCAAGAAGACTGAATAAAATTTGAGAAAGTTATTGCAGTTTATAAAACTTTGACATTTGGGTTAACCAAAAGTTGTCTATGGTCGTATGTCTCGCTTCGCGTTCAAAAAATCTTTGAAAATCTTCTTCTCAAGAACCACTGGACCAGAAAAGCTGAAACTTATGTGAAAGCACCCTGGGGTAGGGCAGGGTCACAATGAGGAATCAAAAGTTTTACATAGAAATATATAGAAAAAAATCTTTAAAAATCTTCTTCTCAAAAACCACTTGGCCAGAAAAGCTGAAACTTACATGGAGGCATCCTGGGATAGTGTAGATTTCAAATTGTTTAAATTATGATCATTGGGGTAGGGTGGGGTCACAATATGTATTACAAGGGGGAAATCTGGTAAAAAACAGAATGGTCAAAGATTCTCAGGTGAGCAATGTGGCCCATGGGCCTCTTGTTTATTGTTTGTTGCAAGAGTCCATGTATGTAAATAAACCATGAACTGCAGAGATTCTATGCTTATCAAAATTAATCATTAGATGTCAAGTCCACTTCCTCACCTGTATATGTTTAAAGAGGAATAAAACAAAACACAGGATTACTGAAAATAATGGTAGTATTTGAAGATATTCTGACAACAAGTTTGTAAAAAGAGAACAAATGGCAATATAGTACAGCATTCAATAGGGTGATAATGCTTCTGAATATATTGAGCAATGTGACATCAAACAGTGCTACTGGCAGATCATTTTACAATTATAATGTACATCTATCATGTTAGAAAAAGGGGGAGGGGGTCAAAGAGATGAGGCTATATACAGGAGAAATGAGGTCAAAAATGTTCAAGCTTGGATTGCCCCCGTCAGATAATACACGTACACACACAAGGAGTCAGGAGATGGGCATGGACAGTGGATATATGAAAATATTGACTTATGTATCGTGTTGTCACAACAATCAGATTCAAGAATCCAAATTGTTACAAAAATGTGAAATTATTTGGCAATAATTGTGTATAGTGCCTATTTGTAAACTCTGTACAATTGGTTTTATGGACAATCTAACCTATTTTGTTATCTGCACATATATTAACAGTACAAAAGCACATATACATTCAGAATGGACAAAATAATATAGAAATATCTTTGGAAAACTTTCAATAAAAAAAATCTCACAACTGAAGTGACTGTTACTTTTCCATCTACATACAAGTGAAATATTTACATTTTCTATATTAAATATTTCCAAGATTAGGCTGTTAAGCTTGTTATATCCAAATCAATACATTTATTAATAAAACGAAGCAGGACTAAAGACATAGAATTATGTAAAGAAATAGCCGAGTCTCTTTACAATGACATTCCTACAAATTAACTATAAAAAGGGAGATAACAGCACTACTGCATTGTAAACAAAAATATCAAGTCACAAATGGAATTTGGTGCACCAAATAACCACATTTAAGAAATTGACACATTATTAACAAAACAAAAATACATGTAATTGTTCACTTCAACATAAAATATCACCTCTCCACTTTTTTTTTCCAAGTCAAGAGATGCAATCTTTAAAGCATGTTAACATAGAATAAGAAAAATTCTCTTGTTCACACTCATACACATATTTAATAGCACTTCTTTTCATACTTTGTTTCACATTTCAGGGAATGGTTCCCTAGAAGCAAACTAAAATATGACCATGAATCGATATTTTTCATAGTTTTAATATCCATTTTTTTTATTCAAAAATCCCTATTTTCGTAAAGAGAGCACCTTAAATCAATTTTTAGGACACATTTAAATGCTAAGATGATATTCCCTGATTTCAAATTTTGATCCCCAAAAATTATGCATGATTTAGTAATACAATCAGTTCCAGAGTTCATAGCAAATACTATGGTAAATACTGCACCATAACAATGAAAGAAAAGCTGATTGGAAAACAATACTGTTTAAATAAATCACCATATCTGTTATAACCACAGTTAAATAAATGTTTGTTTTGAATCCATGTTAATAATCTCCCTTTGTTTGCTCCCTGATTTTCTCAAGAAATGTATTTCAAATGTCTTTATAATATGAGGATGTGATCTATCGCTTTTCATCCAGACAATATGTTTGTAATGAAGCATGGGTGAACCACATGACCTCTAAAAGTACATCCCAATTACCTTTTTGTTTTTTTGATAAAACATTCAATAATTGACAAAAAATTACAGATTAGCTTACCAATTTTAGTTTTAGTTTTATTACACATCATAAGTTGAAAATCATGAGCATATTACTTAAGAATTTCTTTCAGAGGAATCCAAGCAATAAATCACACCTTATTATAGCAATGTTTGAGGTTTTTTTTGTAGTAAATGTTCCAAGTTATTGCAGAATAATACATGGGTCAACATTTTAATAGCATGTATTTAAATCTAATTTGGTAATGCCCTGTATTAAAATATTCTGAGAATATCAGCCAATTAAATCCTTATATTAAATGAAATAATAATCAAACAGTCATGTGGGAAGAAATGAAAATTCAGTCCAAGGGAAATAATTCTAATGAAATATGAAGATCTGCATAATGAAATCAATTCATAAAGCAGTATGGTTATGTGAATGTGTTGCAAAATAGTAATATATCTCTCAAAATAATTCATCAACTACAAATACATGTAACAAGCAATAATATATAATATATAATTGAAAGCACATAAGAAATAAAATATAAAACAAAGGAATGAGATTAGCACTTGTCAATTACTCATACAATGATGATCAACATAAGCATGTGCGCTATATACCACTTAAGTATGTTACTTCAAATATATGTTAGTAGAACAGAGTAGCCCCAATTTTCACACATACAAAAATTACCCAAATCATACCAAGTACTGTTAATCCAAGTTATATTTTAATGTTAGGTCAAACTAGTACTTATAGATATACCCTTAATAGTTTTATTAAACAAAAACAAAAAATCTCACAATAAATGCATATTAATTTTAAAAAAAAGAAATCCTATTCAGTATTTTTTTTTTTTAACACAAAAATGAAAATTGAAATTGAGAAAAGGAGCTTCTATACTCACTGAAAATAGCCTTTTATATAGGGCAGGCTATAAAAAATAGATTTAGCCTAAGAGAACCTGCTGCAAGTCTCATCACTTTAACCGGCTGATCAGTGAGGCATATAATTTACTTATCATTGTTTTGCAAAATACTAGTACATTACGTCCATCTTTTCCACAAACTTTACAGAATATCAAACGCCCTACATGTATAATGTTGTAGTGGAATTCTACACACAAACACCTTATATTGGAGGTAGATCAATTTTCTTTGTCAAGATAATTCAACATATCCGTCAACTTTTAAAAAACTTTAAGTCAAAATACAAGATTTATCATTCAAGTTGTATCTGTGTGATTCTCTTTTAATACACCTTTAGAGTTTTATCGGGTATGTACAACTGCTGTAAATATATTTTACAGGATTACATCCTCTTATTTCCCAAAAATTTGAAAATAAATATTAACATTTTGTAGCACTTTGTTAGCTATAGCAATCATATATTAAATATATAATGATTGAATACAACAAGAACTTGTCAAAAATATGACCAAAAAAACACAAGAAAAAACTTTGATAATAAAAAGCTATAGTTTTCTTTCCTTGGAATTGGCTCTCTAGCATGATAGAGAACTACAACCTTCTTCTCTCGTTCACTGATCCATGACAAATAGCTCCCTCTGATATGTCACACATGACCGACGCTGTCACACATGATTTGATACATGAGGATGTATATAATACTAAGATCAGACTGCTGTAGAACTCTTTGGTCGGTTTTTGCCTCTGCGCTGAGCCAGGACGGAGGCTCCTACAGGTTCCAGGGTTGGTTTGGGGGAATTGTTCAGGGCCTTAAATGTGGCTGTCATTGCTCCCTGTTAGAGAAAACAATACATACACCGTGAACTTGTAAAACAAGAAACCAACCTGTACAGAAATAAAACACTTATAGTGAGAACTCTTGATAGAGCTGTACAGAAAAGAAAATCTCAAGATTTTGCTCCTACTTTAATAGAAGAAAGAGCTTAAAACAGTATTTTTTGTTAACCATTGTATGTCTAGATAGGAAGTATGAATACTATCCTAAATATTTACTGTGGAACATTCACACAACCAAGTAAAATCAGTGTGTCTCTAGACAGAACATACCCAATTTTCGCGAGCATACAGACTCACACAATTACGCGATAATGAAGTTCTCGCGATTAAAAAGTGATTTACAGCAAAATATTTGTTTAAAAAACAAACTTTAAACAAATATTTTACTGTAAATTGCTTTTTATTTGCGAGAATTTATTTTCGCGTAACTGAGTGACTCTGTCTGCTCGCGAAAATGTTATTCTTGCATATATTTGTATTATTGTTATTTATATACAACAGAAACCAAAGCTCACAAAAATTTTGTCTCACTAATAAATACCAAATAGCTAAGTTGATAAAATAAGGTGTTGCGAAAATATAGTGATCTACAGTATTCAATGGCTTTTAGTTACCTTTACAAGCTGCGCGTCTTGGAGAGTAAGTCTGAATTGTGGAAGAGCCTCTCTTTGAGCCACCCAGGGATGATTAAGAACCTGTGTCGCTGATAATCGACTCCCGGGGTCAACGTGTAACATCTTCTGTACAAGATCCTAGTCAAGAAAAAAAAGCAGAGATGACTAAAAAAAAGTGCAACTCAAACAATAAAGCATCAACAAGAGGCCCAGGGGCCACAGCGCTCACCTGAGCACATCAGGCTTGAAGTTACCCCCCCCCCCCCCCCCGCCCAGGCGTTCATCATTTGAACAAACTAGAATCTACATTACCTGAGGATGATTCCATATAAATATCACTAATCATAGCTTTGAAGTACTTGAAAAGAAGATTTTAAAAGGTTTCTCTATATATCCCTATGTAAAACTTGGGTCGGCCATTTTGACCCCACCCTTGCCCCGGGGGTCATGATTTGAACAAACTTGAATCTACACTACCTGAGGATGATTCCACGTGAGTTTCATCTTTCCTGGCTCAGTGGTTCTGGAGAAGGATTTTTAAAGATATTTCCTATATATTCCTATGTAAAACTTGGGTAACCCTTGCCCCAGGGGTCATGATTTGAACAAACTTGAATCTACACTACCTGGGGATGATTCCACATGAGTTTCATCTTTCCTGGCCTAGTGGTTCTTGAGAAGAAGATTTTTAAAGATTTTTCCTATATATTCCTATGTAAAACTTGGGTCGGCCATTTTGGCCCCACCCTTGCCCCGGGGGTCATGATTTGAACAAACTTGAATCTACACTATCTGAGAATGATTCCACATGAGTTTCATCTTTCCTGGCTCAGTGGTTCTGGAGAAAAAGATATTTTAAAGATTTTCCCTATATATTCCTATGTAAAACTAGGGTCGGCCATTTTGGCGCCACCCTTGCCCCGGGGGTCATGATTTGAACAAACTTGAATCTACACTACCTGAGGATGATTCCACATGAGTTTCATTTTTCCTGGCCCATTGGTTCTTGAGAAGAAGATTTTTAAAGATTTTTGCTATATATTCCTATGTAAAACTTGGGTCGGCCATTTTGGCCCCACCCTTGCCCCGGGGGTCATGATTTGAACAAATTTGAATCTACACTACCTGAGGATGCTTCCACATGAGTTTGATCTTTCCTGGCCCAGCGGTTCTGGAGAAGAAGATTTTTTAAAAATGCCATTAATTTTTAATAAATTCATAATTATCTCCCCTTGGAAAAGGGTGTGGCCCTTCATTTGAACAAACTTGAATCCCCTTTACCCAAGGATACTTTGTGCCAGGTTTGGTTGAAATTGGCCCAGTGGTTCTTGAGAAGATGAAAATGTGAAAAGTTTACGACGACGACGACAACAACGACAACAACGCCAACAACGACAACGACAGACGACGGACAAATTTTGATCAGAAAAGCTCACTTGAGCCTTCGGCTCAGGTGAGCTAATAAAACATTTAATTCAAAAAAAGTTAGACGTGATAATTCTTCTTGAAACCAATTCTTCAAATAAAATATACGGAGGATGTATTTCACACTTGGTAAAAATATAATGGATAGACAATAACTGAAGCTTAATAACCTTCCAATAGCAGAGGCCTCAGACATGAAGTCTGGTTTTAAGAAATATCAAAAGACAAAAAGAGACAGTAATTAGGTCGTCAAGGGATTCCAGTGACCTAATTAACATCAAGTATTTTTTTTGTACTTGTGACATATTCAAAACATTATGACAATACGTTAATATGGTTAAAGTACAGGATATCTTATTTCTCAGTATTAAATAGAGAATACTTAACATTGCTCGTAACTGACCTTTGCTGCTGCCGAGACTGAGTCCCAGTTTCCCCCTGCCAAGGTGAATTTACCCTCTCCAATACGAGATAGGATATCATTAGGTGTATCATTTGGTCCATTGGCAAATGGTGTGTGCCTACAATTATACAATTAGAAGCATGTCATGTTACCACCATTAAACATGTTAATGACAGAATATTGTGATGGTCAACTAATTTAAACTTAGAAATCAATTTGACAGTTTATATATCTTCAAGAAGAATGTACAAGAACCTGCCAAGATGAAAATCTTTGTTTCTCAACTGATTTCAGAAAAGTTTGCAGAGAAAAAATTCCATACACATTCAAAACTGAATTTCAAGGAGTTTGCAACAAAAATATTCAGAAGACAGTCAAAACTGATGTAATGATAATGTGTCGACTCAATAGTCTGCAAAGTGTAATCTAGAGTCCTACCCTGCTAGCATTGTGTAGAGTAGAACACCAAGGCTCCAAATATCACAGGCAGCATCATAGCCTTGTCTCTTCAGAACCTGAAACCAAACATAAACCATGGTCAGTTGGATTTTTTTAATACAAGAAATGTACTCTACTTACATGTATACCTTAAGCTATTTTTTGTTTTGGGTATCTATTATTCAGAAATTTCAAAGGTGGTTGTGATTCATACAGAAAATATCTGTGAAATTTATGAGCTTCAAAATGCTCTCATACTTGCTCCCTAATACCAAAGTACATGTAAATGTAAACACATGTACCAGTTCAAGTTAACATCAAATGCGTACACTTTTTCCTAAACACTACAGGAATGTGGAAAAATACAGCATGCACACAAGAATACACATGGATAGGTCATCCCAACTCAGGTTCTAAAATCACACTGCAAGGAAATAAAGGAACCCTTCCACATTTGTTAGACAGGCACGGTACACGATCAATGTATTAGTATACAGCTATCCTCGCCTGGTTGGAAAAACCATTCAATTCAGGCAGTGTTCCAGCTAGTATTTGCAAGGGCAATGGTGAGTCAATTCAACATCCAAAGGGATTTTTGGAAGAGCACATGTTGAAAAGGTTTAGGTAAACATCAAATTTTTGATGATCAAATTATTATAAAATAATTGTAGAAATCAATACAAGTGAAGAAGGGCCAAAAGTTAGAGAGCAGGTGCTGGGCTATTTAAAACTTCCTTAACTGGAACACTGTTAGATCTCACATATTTACTATAAAAAATTAATTATGATACTATTTTGCCTCCTTTATTGGTTTACCAGACAAAACATAATTATTAAAATAAGTCTGACAAAAGCAGACAATGTAATGCCTTCATTTACCATTCAAACATTTTCAAGGAATCCTTTCAATGTTTACACTAGAAATGTATATATTTCTAAAAGACTTTTCACTAATTTAACTGAGAGAAGTAGAAGAACACTCTATCCTGCCACCCAAACCTCTTACCTTAAACGATAAATTGGCAACAGAATTTGGAGTGCTCTGAGTGCTCTAAAACAATATCATCTTTTTGTTGAGGTATAGAGTTATTAATTCACAGGCTGCCCAACATGAATTTCACCTGGCCTCACCAGTCTTAGAACTTGTAATCTCAACTCAGTACCTTATGGTGTCAATTTTTTAAACATACAACTTACATTTAAAAAGATAATTATTGTGTTTTGATGCAACCTGCTAAGTAGCTTTCAATAAAAATTCTATTGCCGCATTGGACAAATTTCAAAATCCACAGCAAGCAACCTAACAAGATTTCCACCACCTTTCTAGAACCAACTCACCTCAGGTGCCACGAAGTTTGCCGTGTAGCACGGGGTCATGAGAAGGCCATTGTCTGCTCTCAGCTGCTTAGCAAATCCAAAATCACAAATCCGCAGGCTGTCTGGTGATCCAGAATTGTCCGCGTACAGAATGTTGGATGGCTTCAGATCTCTATGTACAACCTGACAGTGAATTCAAACAATCTTAATCCTCATCCAGTTCTTTTGACACATGTAAATTTACCTTAAATTATTTCACTTTACATGGAAGTTTTAAACAAGAAGTCTATTCAAAACTTTGAAAAATACTCTTGAGTAAAAGAATATATATTTGCTTTACACTTGACAATTTTAAATCAGACCTCAAACTATCCCCCCTCCCTCTTTTATGTGGCTTTTTACATCATGGATCCTTAGGTAGTTTAGTTTCAAACTACTAAAACTATGCATGGACAAACATATTTTAATGACACTTACTCCATTTGCATGCAGATATTCTACTGTCTTTGCAACGATTTGTAGAACTGCACTAGCTTCCCTTTCTGAGAAGAATCGCTGCCGTAAAATTTTGTCCAACAACTCTCCCCCTTGCATTAATTCTGTCACCATGTATACTTTATTGCCATTATCAAACACCTGTAACAAAAGAAAAACATCAAATTTTCATTGGAAAATGCACAATACAAGTATACAATAACAATTTATTCTATATCTGTTATAATAGCTATCTCTAATAGCATTATAAAATCTCTAAAATTACCTTTCGATAAAAATATATACCATTTTTTCTGTATAAATTGCATCTGGCTAAAATTTCCACTGATATAGTATCTTGAGACTACATGTACTACACTTACATCTCTCAGGGAAATGATGTTTGGATGGTGTCCAAACCTCAACAAGATTTCTACTTCCTCTGATGGGTCCCTCTTCTCTTTGTCCATTATCTACAATTATAACATTTTAGAATATATAATATATATATAATAACATTGGTCTCCCACAAACAATAATGATTCCTGAGTATTTGTTTGTAAACCTGTGGCTTCACCTTACAATTGGGGTTCATAGTTTAAAAAAATTTGAATCTACAGTAGCTGACAATGCTTTTACATATTTACAATGACTAATCATGGCTTTAGTCTCCTTGAGAATAACATTTAAAAGATGTTTTTATATATATTCTTAGGTAAAGTTTCAATTTCCTAATTTGGCCCCACCCTACCCCTGACAGTCATGATTTGAACTTGGTATGAAACTTCCCCCCAAGTTTTCACACGGTTTTTCTGGCTCATTGGTTCTGAAGAAAGCTATTTTAGAAAGTCACCATCTTCACTTATTCTTAATTATCTCTTCTTGAGAAAGGACAAGATCCTTTATTTAAAGAAACCCGTATTTACTTCACCCAAGAATGCTTTGTGGCAAGTTTGGATGAAAGAGACCCAATGGTTATGGAGAAGAAATTGTAAAAAGTTTACTACAACAAGAAGGGTCAAATCTTTGGCTCAAATGAATTAAAAGGGCTGAGAGATTTGAATTACACATCTTGCATTCTTAATCTTACCTTGACAGCAAATTGCTGTCCAGAGCCTTTGTGTATACACCGCTTACACACAGAATATGATCCTATTCCAATATCCTGAAAGGAATACAAGTTCATAGTCATTACTTACATTCTATGATCAATAGAAAAGAAAATTAATTTCTGGGGGAAAAATTTAACCTTAGATACTCAAGAAAAATTAGTTGAATAAAGAAATTTTTTCTCAATTATTCAAATTTTGCTTTCTGACCATCTCAAGCTATGTTGGTTATCAATTAAACATACATGTAACTATATATACACTGTCTATAACAAATGCAATATAAAAAATTACCTCTTTTGTTTCATATTCGTCTGAGAAAGCTGTACACTTTACACCGGGTAACTATAAAAGCAAGATAGGGTTTATCAAGTTATACATGTATTTCAATGTTATGTTTAGTTTTAACAACAAACAGAACCCCCAAGAGATTATGAAATTTTATACGGTTTTGTTTAGATGAAAAGTATTTTTATTGATCGCATAATTACATGTATATGAATTTGTTGATATTTAGGCATTTTGATTATCTTATACAGAGCTTACTGATTTTAAGGCAATTTGATTATCTAATATAGAGTTGGAAACATGGTTTTCTTCTCCTAGTAAAGCTGGTGCCACAAAACTGAATCCTCGGAATAACTCATGGGCTGTGGCACTAGGGGGAATTCCCGGGGAGTCTGTAAATAAAGTACAAGAATTTGAACATAAATATATCTTTTTAATCTAAGTAAATAAAAAGATATACACTAGAGAATTTGCTAAAATATCACCTAATATTCTCATGGACCCTTGTAAAATCAATATGTCATTTAACAGTGTTTGAAACTCGCTGTAAAATTAGCTAGACATGCAGGGCTGATTGCTAGTAGAAGTTGTCAGCCCTACCAACAAGAGGCCCAGGGGCCACATCGCTCACCTGAGCTAGGAAAAAGCACAATTCAGATCTGAATTGAAAAGATTACTGAGGGCGAGGGAGGGGGGGGGGGGGGGGGGGGGGGGCTTGAATTCTAATACTACTTGAGAATACCTCCATATCAATACTGCATATAACTTCTTAAGAAAGTTCTTGAGAACAAGATTTTTAAAGATTTCTTGTAACATTTTGTTTGTATATATTACTTTGTAATAATTTGAATTTGACTTCCCATTGTTTCCCTCCCTACCCCCATTTTGACCCCATCCTATCCCTGGAGGTCATGATTTGAATAAACTAGTATCTACATTACCTGACGATGCTTCCATATGAATATCACTAATCATGGCTTTGCAGTACTTGAGAAGAAAATTTTTAAAGATTTTGTGGTCCCACCCTACCCCTGGGGGTCACAATTTGAACAAACTTGAATGTACACTACCTGAGGATGATTCAACATGAGTTTCATCTTTCCTGGCCCTATGGATCTTGAGAAGAAATTTTTAAAGATTTTTCCTATATATTCCTATGTTAAGGAGGCTCATTACACCACTTTTTGATGACGTACTACACCAAAAAATAAACCTCCATTGTGTCGACCGGTTTCCTCTGGGGACGAATTGTACAGGTACCTCTATTATATGACCCTGACCTTTAAAACGCTTTAACAAGAGGCCCATGGGCCTTATAGGTCACCTGAGCATTATGCAACAACTTTCCAGTGATTAAATTTAATTCATCATAACAATACACTTAGCAATTGCTTAGTTTGTTTACTTAATACCCATACACAAGGTAGGGGAACAAAAAATGCATTTCAACTAATCAGTTATATTCAGCAATAATCAGTAGTGCCCCTACCACACATGAACCCCTTGACCCTTAGGCCTTGATATTTGATTAATACCAAGGAGCAGATTTCAAACCATTCATTCATTTTCAGTATATAAGTACACCCCCCCCCCAATGGTAACCCTGACCCTGGGGCCTTGAAATTCACAATTCTGGAAGATTAGGGCCCTTGTAGATCATAACTATATAGGTAGTTCATCTGCTTAATACCCTAGAGCAGAGAAGAAAATTTTAAAGATTAAATGAATTTTCACTATATAATCTATAGAGCCCCGCCCTAACACCAAAACATCTGACCCTGGGGCCATAAAATTCATAATTTTGGTAGAGGCACTCTTGCTCATCATAACTATGCACTTAGTTAGTTTATTTAATACCCAGGAGCAATGAAGAAGATTTTCAAAGAATTCCTGTATTTTTTCTATATAATCAATAGAGCCCCCCCCTCCTAACACCAGAACCCCTGACCCTGGGGCCATAAAATTCACAATTTTGGTTGAGGCACTCTTGTTCATCATAACTATGCACTTAGTTAGTTTATTTAATACCCAGGAGCAGAGAAGAAGATTTTCAAAGAATTCATGTATCTTCACTATATAATCAATAGAGCCCCCCCCCCCCCCTCTAATACCAGAACCCCTAATCCTGGGACCATAAAATTCACAATTTTCGTAGAGGCACTCTTGCTCACCATAACTAGGCACTTAGTTAGTTTATTTAATACCTAGGAGCAGAGAAGAAGATTTTCAAAGAATTCATGAATGTATTTTCACTATATAATCAATAGAGCCCCCCCCCTCTAATACCAGAACCCTAATCCTGGGGCCATAAAATTCACAATTTTCGTAGAGGCACTCTTGCTCACCATAACTAGGCACTTAGTTAGTTTATTTAATACCTAGGAGCAGAGAAGAAGATTTTCAAAGAATTCATGAATGTATTTTCACTATATAATCAATAGAGCCCCCCCTCTAATACCAGAACCCTAATCCTGGGGCCATAAAATTCACAATTTTGGTAGAGGCACTCTTGCTCACCATAACTAGGCACTTAGTTAGTTTATTTAATACCCAGGAGCAGAGAAGAAGATTTTCAAAGAATTCAGGTATTTTCACTATATAATCAATAGAGCCCCGCCCTAACACCAAAACCCCTGACCCTGGGGCCATAAAATTCACAATTTTGGTAGAGGCACTCTTGCTCATCATAACTATGTACTTAGTTACTTTATTTAATACCTAGGAGCAGAGAAGAAGATTTTCAAAGAAATAATGCATTTTCACTACCTACTTATTTAGCCCCGCCCTAGCACTAGAACCCCTGACACCAGGGCCATGAATTTCACAATTTTGGTAGAGGACTCATTGCTGATTACAATTATGCAAACAGTTTGACTGCTTGATGCCCAGGTGTAAAAAAGAAGATTTTTAAAGATTGCATTAATTTTAGTGGTTTTGGCCCCACCCCTCAGGCCCCTGGGGGGCAGGGATCATGAAATTCACAATTTTTGTTCCCCTTTACCCATAGATGCTTTGTGCCAAATTTGGTTGAAATTGGTTCAGTGGTTGCAGAGAAGAAGCAGAAAATGTTCAAATGTTAACGCACGACGCACAACGCACAACGCACGACGCACGACGACGGACGAAAACAGATAGCAATAGGTCACCTGAGTTTACTCAGGTGACCTAAAAATAGATGAAACATGCGGTGTTATAAACAGTGAAAACAAAGTAACGGATTCATTATGCATTAAGCAAGGAGAATTGCTTTTAAGCAGAAACAAAAGAAAACAACAGTCAAATCTTCGGAAAACAAGTAATGTCAATTTCATAGCGATGCATGCAGTGAGCTCTATCATCAATGACATGTTTGTATGGAGGAAATTCGAGTTAAAATCTACAACCTTGTTGAAATATTAAAAAGTTATTTACTTGCACTATTTACTGTGTTGGTGTTAATTTTTATATTTGCTTTATTGATTTAAGTGTATACCCTGGCAATTTAAAGCTTTGTTCTGAATTTTAGATGTAATGTCAAACGTTCCTTAGTGTTTGAGTCTTGGGCAATTAGGAAAGATAACTCTTGAAAGTGGACTTTTTATACCAAATATTTTTTAAATTGGATTTTTCATTTCATTTAAACATTCTTTATTCAATTTGACAGATGTAATTCATTGAAATACATTCCTTGTCTCTTCAGAACTCATTTTCTTAATGTTTTAAGCATAGATTAAAAAGATAATGATATGAATTGTTTTTTAGGAGAAAATTATTTTTTCTAATAAAATTATTATTAGGTATTACGAGGTATTTTCACAGTGTGTACTTGTCTTAAGAAGATGCCCATCATTTGACACTGAAAGTTCTGAAATTCTGTTAATAATAAACTTGAAATGAAACATTTCACTAAAATTAGACAAAAACTAAAAAATTCTATAAACAAGAGGCCCATGGGCCACATCGCTCACCTGAGAAGTTTTGACCATTCTGTTCTTTACCAGATTTCCCCCTTGTTATACATAATGCATCCCCACCCTACCCTACTGATCATAATTTAGACATTTTGAAATCTACACTACCCCATGATCCTTCCATGGGCACATATGTTTCAGCTTTTTTGGCCCAGTGGTTCCCGAGAAGATTTTTCCTATATATTTCTATGTAAAACTTTGATTCCCTATAATGGCCCCGCCCTTCCCCCGGGGGTCATGATTCCTAAAATTTAGAATTTACACTACCCCAGAATGCTTCCACATAAGCTTCACTTTTTCTGGCCCAGTGGTTCTTGAGAAGAAGATTTTCAAAGATTTTTCCTATATATTTCTATGTAAAACTTTGATACCCCATTGTGGCCCCGCCCTTCCCCCGGGGGTCATGATTTGAACAATTTAGAATCTACACTACACCAGGATGCTTCCACATCAGTTTCAGCTTTTCTGGCCCAGTGGTTCTTGAGAAGAAGATTTTCAAAGAATTTTCCTATATATTTCTATATAAAACTTTGATTCCCCATTGTGGCCCCGCCCTTCCCCCGGGGGTCATGATTTGAACAATTTAGAATCTACATTATACCAGGATGCTTCCACATAAGTTTCAGCTTTTCTGGCCCAGTGGTTCTTGAGAAGAAGATTTTCAAAGATTTTTCCTATATATTTCTATATAAAACTTTGATTCCCCATTGTGGCCCCGCCCTTCCCCCGGGGGTCATGATTTGAACAATTTAGAATCTACACTACCCCAGGATGCTTCCACATAAGTTTCAGCTTTACTGACCCAGTGGTTCTTGAGAAGAAGATTTTTTTATGACCCAACCATATTTTTGTCTTTTCATGATTATCTCCCTTTGCGAGGGGATATGTCCCTTCATTTTCATAATTTAAATTTCCCTTCACCCAAGGATGCTTTGTACCAAGTTTGGTCAAAATTGGCCCAGTGGTTCTTGAGAAGAAGTCGAAAATGTGAAAAGTTTACAGACGGACAGACAGACGGACAGACGGACGGACAGACAGACAGACGGACGGACGACGGACAAAATGTGATCAGAAAAGCTCACTTGAGCCTTCGGCTCAGGTGAGCTAAAAATATTTATGATATCAATACCCCCATCTGGATATTTGGCATCTACATTATAAGTGGTGCTGTATTGAAATCTAAAATAAACTGTGGATGTAATGAGCCACCTTAAACTTTGATCGGCCATCGTAGCCCCACCCTATACCCCCGGGGGTCATGATTTGAACAAACTTGAATGTACACTACCTGACGATGATTCAACATGAGTTTCATCTTAATTTCCTGTCCCAATGGTTCTTGAGGAAAAGATTTTTAAGGATTTTTCCTATATATTCCTATGTAAAACTTGGATCGGCCATTATGGCCCCACCCTACCCCGGGGGTCATGATTTGAACAAACTTGAATGTACACTACCTGAGGATGATTCAACATGAGTTTCATCTTTCCTGGCCCAATGGTTCTTGAGAAGAAGATTTTTTAAAAATGCCATTAATTTTTCACAAATTCATAATTATCTCCCCTTGGAAGAGGGTGTGGCCCTTCATTTGAACAAACTTGAATCCCCTTTACCCAAGGATACTTTGTGGCAAGTTTGGTTGAAATTGGTCCAGTGGTTCTTGAGAAGAAGATGAAAATGTGAAAAGTTTACGACAACGACGACGACAACAACGACTACAACGACAGACAAATTTTGATCAGAAAAGCTCACTTGAGCCTTCGGCTCAGGTGAGCTAAAAATGGACTAGTCCGAAAAAAGCAGTTGTCTTTTAAAAGTTAAATGTTACAGTAATGTAAATGGGACCAGCTCACTATATATTGGATTACTTGATATCGCGATTACTTAACTAAGCAGAACTCTTTCGCGATGGAGATAGGAAACGTCTGTTTGATGGGACAAATGTGCTATTGAATAAATGCAAGATCGATCATTGTAGAATTTATAAGGACAGATAAGTAAAAAATCCTGGTGGAATACCTTGATAAACAATCGCTGAACCAGTTTAATTAATTTTTGACATGAGCTAATCCTAAAATGTTACATTTTTAACGATATTATTTTCTCACTAAATATTTATTGAAAATCGTCACATTGTAAAGCTGAGTTTTTTTTCCTAAACTTTCGTTATTTGACAATTTACTATCTGGAGTTCAATTCTTGGCAATACATTGTACTTTCGGCGTAAAATTGTTCGAATCATTTGATTGTCACTCCTGTAAACAATGCCATGTGCCCCAGTAATCTCACGAGATTAAGAGCTTTCTCGACTCCCCCGCAAAGAGCGGTAGTATGTTAGATAACTGCGAAGTACTCGCGATATTACGATATTACTGCTTGTAACTCTTTGAAGCCAGTAATATTAGTTGATCTGAGAGAGGTTTGTCAAATATCTAAATTTTAATTCATAGAAAAATTTAACACGTCCAGCCGGGCGTCTATACATGGAAATCTATTCGCCCGTGACAAAATCTATGCGTCTCTGGCGGTTGGGCGCATGGTTATTTCAAACACTGCATTTAACCTTATGCTTATTGTAGATTCCTTGGTCTTGGACATTTATTAACTGTAAACAATTTCTTGAAGCTGATGTACACAGTTTATAATTGATATTAATGCCACGTATTGCCTTCACATATAGCTGGTTTGGGTTCCGGAGAAGCAGCCCAAAATGTTCAAATGTTAGGGGGAACGGCCCCATAACAGATAGCAAAAGGGTAACTGAGTGACTCAGGTGACCTAAAACTGTATTCTTACCAGTTCTGGCGCTTAAATGTCTGATTTTTAAGTACACTAACAAATTTATAAATAAATCAAATAACATCAAACAAGTTAAAAAAGTATTGGAAGATAAATATTGATTTTCCACAATAGTCCATTAGCATTTTTGTCTAGTGTACATGTTAATTCTATCATATAACCTTAAAGTCAATATTATTCATAAAATAATTTCTCATCAATTATCACTGAATGTAGAAGAAAAATCCTTAAGAAAACTACAAGCATGTCCAGAACTGCGTCATTACCTTTGGGTGTGCGTGTCGTGAATTCTGGGTCAAAATAAAATGCATCATCAGTCTGTACCACAGCTGGTTTAAACGGAGGATTTAAAGAACGTTTATATAGTTTATCAAAGTCTATATTGCTGAAAAACGGTTGTTTCTTTATATCTTCTATGCCATTTGGTCCTGAACCTGCAACAAGCAAAATTACGAATAATAGTCATTCTAACAGGCAAACTAACTAAATCAGTTTTCTGAATCTCAATCATAAGTAAACATGGTCTTTTTTGACAATATTACTCCATCTCCATATCTTAATAATGAAAAATTGACAATTTTTGTTGACCTGTTAATTATCTGTTAATAAACAAAAGGAGCATAATTGCTCTGAAAAATCTGAAATGAATGATTACTTCAACATCCTGTAAGTTATTTTGGCTACATACCTAACCTATTCAGTGGATTTCTTTTAAACAAAGCACGTAACAACTGTTGAGCATCTGAGGACAAAAACTGTGGCATTCCTAGTTTGGCTCTGAAAAATAAATTTACAATTTCTTTAGTCTATTCGACGTTTACAAGTAATATTGTCAACTCTCATCTCTACCACAAAGCAAGTCTTTCTAATAATTTCACAGTTAAATTAGGTGAAACTAAAGAATGAAAATATAGCTCACTTTAAGATCTGAGTCATGGTATCTTTTCTATTTGATCCTTGAAAGGGGAGAGCACCAGTTAACATCTCAAACTGAAAATAGAAAAGTGATTGTGTAATTACACCTTCTTACAGTAAAAGTTAACCAAACCAGATCCTAAAAAGAGAGAGAGTTTCATGTATACCAATCATATACCAGTTGTTAAATGTTTATTGCTCCAATTTGTTAAATCAATATGAAAATAATATAAATGTACAGAATTACAAACAAATGTCTAAATTCAAATCTAACATTCTTTAAGAACATAAAATTCAGTCAAATTTGATGACTGAAAAAGCTGTGAAGTTCATGCTACAGAGTATATACAGTAAATAATGGCAGCAGTGTACAGACTATGGACTACCCACCATGAGGACACCGAATGACCACCAGTCTGCGGCCGTACTGTGGCCCTTCCTGTTGACCACCTCGGGGGCCATGTACTCCACAGTCCCACAGAAAGAGTACGTCTTCTTCTCCTCAAATATTGATTCCTTGCTCAGACCGAAATCTGTCAGTTTGATGTGACCTTCATGATCCAGCAGAATACTGTAACGAAATTTGAGCTTTATAGGTTTGGTCAATGGACTCATACTTGAAAATGACTGTTTCACAGTGAAAATTTTATGTTGAAAAACATAATAATTACTGTAAAATTGATAAGGCTAAGCTTAAAAAAAATCTTTGTTTCCAGTTGCCGACCTATAATTTTTAGAGTGGGTCATTGGTAGGTATGATTTTTTTTTTTTTTTTTTTTTTAGATTTTAGAAATCAAGTTTCTGTTGGATCACAAATCAGAGATTTTCCATAGGGTTATTTTAAGTAAATAAAGCTCTACTTTTTTATGTCACTTATCGACAGCAACAAAAATTTATAAAATAGAAAATTAAACAAGTTTCAACATCCTAAAAATTTGAAATTTCAAAAAAAAAAAATTCTCAAATAATGGCTGAAAAAAGTTTGAGTCAGGTGCATTTTAGTGGGTTGGTAGGCAACTCTCACTGCAAACTAAGGGCGAAACGATTACATGTGTAAACGGCGACGTTTCGATTAAATGCTCTAAACATTTACAAATTGAGTAAACGTTTACACGAAGGTTAATATCAATGTCTATCAGAAAAAAAAACTTTCATCCAAACAAGTTGTTTTATTTCATATTTACACACTCTGTGTCTGTTACAAACATTTTTTTTTTCTGTTATAATCGATACCGGAAACTTAATATTAAACAAAACTATCAAGAAACTAATATGGTCTAACATATTTAATTCTGATTTCAGAGAAGTGAAAACTAGCGATGTTTTAAATATTTTATTTTTCCAAGTATATGTTCTAAAATAAATAACCCCAGTTGTTGCTTTTTATTGATTAGAAAATAAAAAGTATCATGCTTATAACGGTATAATGTTGAATATAGAGCTTTGAAAAATTGAACGTAAACCGGAACTTTCAATGTTATCGTATTTCATTTTTATATTACTATCTTGTTTCAGTTTTTGACACTTCCTACTCTTTCGTCATAAAAACCAACAAATAAACAGTAATGACAACTTATACTTACAGTATAGTGAAAGAATGGTATATTAAATTAGTGTTTCATGAGTAAGTAGCCATAAAAATTCAACACATAAAATTCTCCCGTTTAAACGGTACCGTTTCGTTTACTGGTGTTCACTTGAACGTTTACAAAATTCAGTAAACATTTCACCCTTACTGCAAACAAACCATTTTTATTTTAGGCCTAATGTACATTTTAATTGTCTAATAGATATACTTCTGGGATTCTACATGTCCTAATTCATATGTCAGAATAAAAGAACTGAATGACAACAATTGTTCTGTTAACATTAACTGCAACAGAACTTCAGTTTCAAAAATGTGCACCTTCACATTTTTACTGCAAAAAATTTCGCATTTCCCTGTCATATTTAGAGTATATTTACATGTAAAACCCTCACAGCTGCTCTGAATTAAGTGTTATACACAATCTCATTGTAAGCATGATTCTGTCACCTTCGTAGAGAAAGAAAGGCCATGGCCAACACTTGTGACTTACTTCTCGGGTTTGAGATCTCGGTAAACGATACCAAGGGAATGAAGGTGATCTAATGCGAGGGCCAGCTCAGCCAAGTAAAATTTGACGTCTTCCTCTGTAAACATTACCTGTCAAAATTACAACAGTCATTAACTATAGACATTATGTGTCAATATAACATGTACTAAACATTACTTCACAATATTATATGTACTAAACATTGAAGTATTAAAGTCATATAATTGATGGTATCAACTTTGGATGTTGATGATTAAATGAATCAATAGGAACCTGTCATATATTTTGTACAACATTACAGTTAATAACCTAATATTACATAAACAGAACAATGCACGAGTTTATTTATTTAAAAAAAAAGTACACTGTGCAATAACTAAAAAATATCATTCAAAATATATTGATTAATGCAAAATGATCTTTATCACGGAAGAAACCAAGGAAATTTGATCAATAAAATTATATGTGTGTGGGTTTTTATTTTCTCTTGTGACAATTCTTTACAAAGAATAAATGGCTTTGTAAAACATTTATCTAGAAGTTATTAAATTCCCCTGCTTTGTTTCTGAGGGAAATGCCCCCGTCATTATACAACCCCTCTCCACTGGTTACATAACTGCCTTCCTGTTGACTTTATGCTGTTTTGTCATGTCAGTCTTTTTCTTGATGGATTTTTTTTTTCATCTCTGGAGATAATTAGTGTTCGTATTAAGGGAATGTTAATTACTCTAATGATGAGTACATTATTTGTTCTTCTTCTTAATTAAACTGTCACTGCTACAGAGCACTTCTCTGTGGGGGTTGGTGCCTTATTGATTTTGGGTGCGAGACCACGATGCAGACAACAATGGGACCAGATGAAGGTGTGGTGATAATATATTTTTTCTACAGGAAATCAGCTTACAAAAGTTATATAAATATATAATAGCTCTGTAATATCATTCAATTCAAACAACCACATACTGGAAATCTTGTCAATGAATACCACAAATATACACACAAAACTGTTCCATAACATCCTTTAGACATTATATCAGCATGATATGCAGACAAACCCACACAAATAACTGTTCTATATATCATTTTCAGATCTTACAACTAACTTTGATAAAATGAGAAAGTACAATTAGTCGGTTTAAAATTCCAAGTCTCTGAAGAGACTTTAAAGAGAGGGTATTTTCTATATTTTAAATGGAGAAAATAATAAAGTATTATCCTATAATAAGACATTGTACCTACCTCTTTTGATAATCTGGTAAATAAATCCCCACCTCTGAGGAAGCCCAAGATCAGGTATAATTTCCCTTCCGTCTGAAATGCTAACAAAATAAAGACAAGCTATAATGGCAGTTTAAAATCTTTCTCTTTACTAGGTTTATTTTAACAAAAGTGGAGCATAAGATATTGTGAAGGACTGGTAGTAACTTGGTAAAGGACCAAATTGTGGGTCAGATCCAGCATCCCAAGCAAGTATGGTAATGTGCATTTCTAGATGCATCATTTACACAGGTTTAGTCCAGATAGGACTTACAGTTACTTGGGAATGGATTTTTCCAAATACTATACTGGTTCTTCATCTAGAAAATGTAGATCAAATCCAGCATCTGAAGCAGTCTACTACTAAACATCCCTAGAAGCAATTAACATCCATAAAAGTTTGGTCACCAAAGTTGTAGGTCACCTTGTAGTTACATGAAAATAGGCTTGCCCCCCAAAAACTTAACCTGCTCAAACATCTGGAAAATGTAGGTTACATCCAGCATCCAAAACAAGTCTTGTTCATTTTGTCCATAGATTGTATGCATCATCCATGCATGTTTGCTCAAGATGGAGCTTACAGTTACTTGGCAATGGTGCAACCTTTTTTTCAGTGCCTAATAGAGTGTCAAAGAACAGGTTGGACCTATGTCCCCACTTTTCATGAAATGTAAATGGGTCATTTTGAAATTTTAAGGGCTGAGAGAAAATACATTCTGATACTCTGAAAAGAAACTGAACATCTCTTAAATTTCTGATACAGGTATTTGATACTATAATTACTGTGACCTACAATAAGTAGTTAACTTAACAAAAGAATTGAATCTACTGGTTATTAAATATTTATAGTACACATAATACTTGCCATAATGAAGTTTGACTATAAATGGATGGTTGACATCTGCTAGAATATCTCTCTCCATTTTTGTGCGTTCCCTATCTCTTACTGTTGAGAACCAAAAAAATATATTATTATAAGCACAATGAATCTCCCCCTTATTTAATTGTTTACTTCTATAAGATCTCATGGCAAGAGAAGTAACTCTAAATTATGTTTAATTAATCTCCCCCCAAAAAGGACTTCATCTTGTAAAGTTCAGTTTCGTGTATATGATGCACACGTCTAACAATTTTCATGAATTTGCTCAAAATTACTATCAATCAAAAATTCAAAGTCAATATAGTACTCGATGATACAAATAATGAGAATAAAACTATTCGTGAGGAAAGGGTCTTACAAACATGATGTATGCATATGGTACCTTTAAGTGTGGCTTTCTTTAAGACTTTCATTGCATACAATGTTCCTGCATCTTTTCCTGTGATCTTTCTGACCAGGAATACCTACAAAAAATTCAAAACATTGTCATCAATGCTCTGCGAAAATTCTATTTTCGTTAATCTGGTCTTCATGTATTTTTATCTTGTAGAAGCTCTGTAAATCATAAAATGAAACACCGTCATGAAATGGGATGAGAACTGTATCTTCAAATTATTTTTAGTGTTTAAGGTGGCAAAGTTGCAAGTCATTCGAGTACAATGTATCAATCTACCCTTCAAAACTCATTCAAAATTATTTGTTTTGAGGGAAAAGTAAAGTCTGTCTTAATTAATTTTTGGTCTAGGATCGTCCATACCATCCGACATAAAAAATATTTTTTTATGACATAGACATATCATCATTTCATAACTGATTTCAAAATGAGCTGTGAAATGACAATGCACCTACCGCAAATATCTGAAATCGGAAATTTTGTTATAGGGATATGATTGTCTTCGAGAGAACTACCAATACATGCATGCTTAGCTGGACAACACTTTGAATTACAATATTATAAAATGTTTTTGAAATGAAGATTTATGAACAGTAACTCTATATTAATATTTTTGTAACAGACTTGTTTGATTCAAGACAGGTTCTCTGACAAGACTGATAGATGTACTATATATTCAATATACATGATATAACCAAGGTCTAATAGATCCGCAGCATTATTTTACACAGTTTCCTTTAACAATGCTAGTCTTCAGCTAATCTTCCAGCAAAGTCTTTTTTTCCCTCTTTAGCTACCAGGTATTTTTTTTTTAGCCAGTCTAATGGTGAGCACTGCCTATAAAATAGCCTTTTACATCCCACTTGATATCAACAAACCATTAAGCTGATCAATGGAACCACAATATCAACCACATAATCCCCGAGAATAATGCAAGCCAGTCCTTGCAGTAAATTACTTTTTAGTCGCCTGATCAGATTAAGAAGTCCTAAGACTATCGCAGAAACCCTCAGAGAATTGCTTTGTCAAAAAGAATAGTTTAAGAATTCAATATTCAGAATGAAACACTGAAATAAGATATAAAAACAGTACACTGGTTACTTTCAAACAAATCTAAATGTTTCCAATTCACTTTTAAGTGGAGAAAATAATATAGTAATATTATATAATAAAACAAAATTGATTTAGGAATTAACACTTATGAAGGGGTGTCACCTGGGGGAAGGGGCATCCTTTATTATTTGGTACTTTTGGTGAGAAAAACATTTAAAATTTTAATAAACAGTGTAAGCAGGAAAGACTTTGGAGTATTCAGTAAATCGGGGTTATAACAAAGTCCTAGGGAAGGGCAATTTTCCTTCGTTATAAACATAATTTGTTATATCTGATAGCTTCACAACATTTTTAAACCCTGCGGTGAACGAAAATCACCTGGCTAGAAGCATGTTTTACTATATGTGCTGTGCTTTCAATATTAGACAATATCATTTAAAGTTTGTATCTTCCAGTAATTTGCAAAATCTTTTTTAAGAAAACAAGACTTCAACCATTTTCTACCAAAGCTTAATTCTAGTGGAATTATTACCCTTAGATATTCTAACAGATGGAAAATCAGATGACAGACATGGATCAACTTTAAAATAATTTCCTCTATACCCTCCTGTTAAGTCTAGACTTGCTCTTCCTTTTTTAAAAAAAAAAAAATCTTTTCCTGATGCTTATCCTTCGAAAAATATATTTATTTTTAATCATTTTTTTTTTAAATGGATATATGTGATTGCTTGAACTCTCCATCCTAATAATACAGAAATGTAAATTTCCTTGTTTCACAAAATGTATCACTGCATCAGATAAGTGTGCACTTTGGAATGAGAGAAAAATAGAATACAATGATATAATGATACTGAACATGCTGAAAAAGATCCAGGCCAAAAATAAAATTAGCTTTGTTTGGCGTTGCCAGCCAACAAACATAATTCAGTGTGGCCCATGGATATTTTTTCAATAACCCTATGAAAGTGCATCCCAAAATTTGCAGTTCCGATAATTTTCAACTAAATTTGATTGAAATGACAATATATTTACAAAGACATTTTGGTTTTATAACACAGAATAGTATATTAATAATAGTCATTTTTCTACTCAATTCATCTGTTGATTAGCAACCTTTTGAAACTTTTATACCTCAACACATGTGGTCAACGGGTCAATATTCCTATTTAAGCATGGTATACATGTAATATCAACAGCTTTTAATTTTTCTAGTTCATTCAATACCTGCTTTTAAAATTCAAATATGCAAATAAAATAAAACACACTTATAACAAAGTGCCTGGTACGAACAATTACACTTTGTTATAAGTGTTATTCATTTTATCTCTTTAGTTTACAATAAAATATTATACTTATATTACATGGCTTTGAGGGCAGCATACCAGAATATTTGCCCCTCGGTGACAGGAAAGCCCTGGAGTTTTATGTCGCCTGATGACATAAGCCATGAAATATATGGTATATAACATTTTTTAAAAATTGAACCCAAATCGGTCATCGAACATATTTATTAAACACTATGTACACTTGTACATTAAGTATAATTCTGAAATATCCCATCCTGTTTCATGGCAGAATGTTCTCAGTATGCTGACACTTGAATTGATATCCTTTGTTTTATTAAGGAGATTTCTCTCCTCAATTAAATTATCTAATTCCTCTGAATTCAAATGAACAAATCGCAGACGTTGTCCGGACATTTTAATTTTCACAGAACTGTTTACGTTTGCTTAGCAACTGCCTCTGTGAATTTCGAAACCCGACATAATTGATATGCAGAATTATTGCACGCGAGGAAATATATGAAATATAACTGTATCCAGCGTGATTCAGCAGTTTTTCAGGGCATATGGATAAAAATATATTTGTGATATAATGGGAAAACTTCCTCTAAAATGTTATGTATGGAGATAATGAAGTACTCAAGCTCAAAAGTCCATTAACCCAGAGCAGAGCAAACACAGACCTCCAAAATGTCAGAGGTGGGATCAGGTGCCATGGAGGAGTGAGCATCCCCTGCCAACTGGTCACACCTGCCATATGCTCGTCTTTATTTGGAAATAACAGAAAAATCTGTCGACAATTCTGTGTATATACAATGGCCTAACAATTAGACTAGTATGAAACATGAGTCAGCATTTGGCTTAATGATGAATTGTATTTGCTGACAAGGTCATTGTATCGACTGTAAAACTTAGGAATTGGTGGCTTTAAACAACAAAATATTTTATAATTGAGGAATGAAAATCATTTCTCCGTATTAAGGCAACATTATAAGCTTGTTTGTTATGCATGATTCATTTATGTACTTGTAACACCCTCCACTCAGAAAATTGTACACTACATCGTAATAGCACCTAAATTAATATAAATTTCCACATGATTCTTATACTATATCAAATGACAATTTGATAAAACAAGAGGCCCATGGGCCACATCGCTCACCCGAGCATTGTGGCTAGGAAAAAGTAGAAATTGGTTTACTATTGAAAAGTTTATATCCCAAAGTATGGCCCCGCCCTACCCCAGGGGGTCATGATTTGACCATACTTGAATATACACTACCTGAGGATGCATCCATATAAATATGAGCAATTATGGGTTTGTTGTTCTTGAGAAGAAGATTTTTAAAGAATTTTCCTATATATTTCTATATAAAACTTTGGTCAGCCATTGTGGCCCCGCCCTACCCCCGGGGGTCATGATTTGAACAAATTTGAATCTACACTACCTGGGGATGCTTCTATATAAATATGAGCAATTATGGCTTTGCTGTTCTTAAGAAGAAGATTTTTAAAGAATTTTCCTTTATATTTCTATATAAAACTTTGGTCGGCCATTGTGACCCCGCCCTACCCCCGGGGGTCACGATTTGAACAAACTTGAATCTACACTATCTGGGGATGCTTCCATATAAATATGAGCAATTATGGGTTTGTTGTTCTTGAGAAGAAGATTTTTAAAGAATTTTCCTTTATATTTCTATATAAAACTTTGGTCGGCCATTGTGGCCCCGCCCTACCCCCGGGGGACATGATTTGAAGAAACTTGAATCTACACTACCTGGGTATGTTTCCACATAAGTTTCATCTTTCCTGGCACAGTGGTTCTTGAGAAGAAGATTTTTAAAACATACCACCAAATTTTCACAAATTCTCAATTATCTCCCCTTGAATGAGGGCGTGGCCCTTTATTTGAACAAACTTGAATTCCCTTTACCCAAGGATGCTTTATGGCAAGTTTGGTTGAAATTGGCCCAGCGGTTCTTGAGAAGAAGTCGAAAATGTGAAAAGTTTACAGACAGACGGACGCCGGACAAAATGTGATCAGAAAAGCTCACTTGAGCCTTCGGCTCAGGTGAGCTAAAAAACTGGTAACTATACAAGTATTATGGCATCTGAAACCCATATTTCTCAAATTTGTCACAGCCTTTGGCTAAATATAAAAAAAAATCATCTAAACATTAAACAAGAGAAAAATGCCATCTCTCTTCAGTGTGAAATTCTATATTTTTAATTACGCTAATTGAGACCCAAAGCCACGCAAACAGATAACTTGTCAAATGAAGTGGGAATGTTCACAGTCCAATAAACAGAATTTTCTCCTCAGTTCACCACTGCCTGCTAATATGACTTATTGATTGCTGCTTGAACACTCTCCTCTTCTTCTATCATTTCCCAGAGGGGGAGTGAGGACTAGTTTTATATCTCTCCCTCTGCCATATATCACCATAGGAAAGAAAAACAAGGTCCCTATAGAGTAAATCACACCTGTTAATGAAGAGAGACTAGCAATTCAGCACATGCTGTCAATCTTTAAATATAATCCCTGGTGACTATTAGCGATGGTAAAAGTGTATTTTACCAATTTTAATGATTGCTTGAAAGAATCTGTTCACAGATTAAAAAACAAAGCAAAGAATTGTGGTCCCCCACATTTGGTAACTTAGTGGTTGGAATGCATATATTTATGGCATCTTGTTGCTGTCTTGTGTTTTTTTTTATATCTTGTCTGTGCAGAATACAAAGAAAGATATAAATTATTGAGTTAATAACATTTATGGCAACAAGAGATGTCTGTGATGGACTTATGCCCCCTCCCTCCAAATAATTGGAATTTTTTCTAAGTCCAAGGGCATAACTCTGTCATGGATCGATCGTACCCAAAACAGAACTTATGAAAAATCTGTATATTAACCAAATTTCATTTCAGTTGGTCTAGCCTCTGCAAAAAAAAAATGAACAAAAACTCCAAATAATTGGAATTTTTTGAAGTCCAATGGGCATAACTCTGTCAAAAATGGCTTAATCATACTTAAAACAAAAATTGACCTATATATTATTATGAAAACTCTTTATACCAAATTTCGTTTCAGTATGTGCAACCACTGAGATGAAAATGAACAGAAACTTGGTGGACCGACAGACAGCAGCAAAGCAATATTCTTCTAAGGGAGGGCATAAAAATTTAAGCTTCTTAAAACTGTATTAAACTTCAAGATCAATGTCATAAGGTCAAATATAATAAAATCCGAAAGGTCTGATCTCAAGTAATACAATGTCAAATTTAAATACCCTATCTTTGCTCTGTCAAAAGTTAGCAGCAACGATAAAATGTTTTAAAATTACATCAAACTTCAGGGTCAACTGCATATTTGGAAACTTTTTGACACAGGTAATACACTTGTTGAATGAAAATTCCTCATCTTTTCTCATTCAAAAATCAATGTTTAAAATTTTCAAAAGAAGGCCAAGCTTCAAGGTCACAGGGTTAAAAATCGGTATTTCTAGATAGATCTCCTCAAAGATAATGTACAAATAAAATATGAAATCCCTTACTATCTATTTTCAGTGAAAAGTTACAATCAAGATTAAAATCTTTATGTGCAATACAGATAAATACAAAATCGATGGACTAATAGATGAGATGAATACAATTTAATGTCCCCTCACTTTTGCAAAAGTGGAGGACAACTCTTTGGACTTATCTGCAAAAGACCCACAAGACCTTAGGTTTAGTGATACACTGAACCTCTTTATATGTGGAACCTAGTCCATCAATGGGTAATAACCCATCAATACCAGAGAATTATGTTGAAAGACAATAAAATCTGTAACATAAATAAAATCAATTGATGCAGGAATAGATACCTTGACTGAATATGGTTTTATTGCTTTATTTAAGTATTGTATCCTAATCAATGATCGACTCTCTGTATTAACCCATCTGCTAGTTTTAGTAGTTATTAACACTGACTGCATATCCTTGTAATGCATATCAAATATATCCTAGCATGGTCAACAATGACTTTCATTTAAACCTCTTACCAGTGGGATAATCTCAGTCCAACAGTTTACTGACCTTGGGGATTTACAGCTTAATAGACAGAATGCTTCGTATTACAATTTTCTTCTTTTTCATCAAACTATGGACAATGCCAGGAGATACAGTATCAATTTCAATGGAACATGATGCAAGCTCAGAACCATGAGATGCATTATTTACTCGAGAAATGTGTTATTAGTTATTTTTCAGATGTGACCAGTTTCCAATTTTTAAAGCTCTGCTTCAATCTTTTTTTTTTAAATAAAACTCAATATGACAATCAAAATTCAAAGAATTTACACCCAGCCTTTTGGTGTCAGTTTCGAGTTCTTTAGTAAAAGAGGACCATAAAGCTTGATCATAATGTTCGTTTTCATTTTCAAACCTTTCTTATAATTCAAATGAGTTATGCACCAATCATTTGATGTTTATAATATATACCCGAAATGACAATTTCTCTTTTTGGCCTTCACTGAACATGATGAATATGTTTTCGTTTGTACACCTTTTGTTAACTGATTATTCCTCTGTGTAGGTCATTAATCACCAAAGAATTCATGAATTGATGTGTGTGGCAGTTTGATCCTACACACTGCTCATCCCAGGAAATAACTTTCGCAGAAAATATAAAAAATTCATATTCTCACTAACTGCTCTGTTTTAAAATATGTTATTATGGCTAGAAATGATGACTTTTTTTAATCATCACTTGGGCTATCATCTTCAATTTTCTCTGATCAACTCAACACTTTGCACTATGTCAGTATATTTTTGGAAGACTTGCCCAAAATATTTTGCTAAAATTGTAATACTTTATACAGTGCATCATAATAAATCTAGAATCAACCAAAGTTGGACACCACATAACCTTGCCAAGTTTACTAGTCCTTCTGTTAACAATTTTTGTTATGCATTAAACAGTGATGATTCTGTATATTAACTAAAATATCTGAAAGAGGTTGGGGGTGGAGGGGGCTGCTTTAAGGCCTCCTCTTGGGGTGCAGGGGAAAGCCCTTGCTGGGGGTCTGGGCCCCAGATACTGATAAATTTAAGCATTAGTAAACCTCAAAAAGACTTAAAAAATTGACACAAAATTGAAGATATTTCAGGTTCAATGGTCTTCTGAATATTTTCTGATATTTTTTCGTCTTCAATAATGCGATAGCAAATGCCATTTCCAAGCGTTTTTTCATACTCTTGTCAACAACTTTCACATCATGGCCCAGGGATTTATCTAGCCATTTTGTTTTACTACCGTTTTATATGTAAAGGGGAAATATGAGAGCCGCAGGCTCGATCTGAGCGCCGAAGGCGCGAGTATTCTAGGGGGGTCCAGGGGCATGCCCCCCCCGGAAAAATTTTTAAAAAATGGAGCAAAATCCTGCATTCTTAGAGCTTCTGAGGGTCATTTGTAGACCTTTACAAAGGCCACAAAAACTTCACTTTTTAGGCAAAATACTAAATAACACACACACAAAAAATTTAACCAGGTCAAGACTTTATTTAATTTTTTCTCTAAATATCTATCACAAATCATTTTTTTTTATCATGTTTCACTACTAACATTGTTTTTGTTGTTACTCCATTCTTCCGATTCATAGTGATATAAGCTCCATCTTACTCATCTACACTTTTCTTTTTAACTCTGCAATCGCACTCGTATCTTTCGACATCATGGACTTGAGTGGACTTGGCACATGTTTACCGATCAATATCAAATAAAAGCTTGAATGTTCTATTCTTTCTTTCAAAAGCGTTTGAATGACTAGGATGGTAAATTAGCTGTTAAACTTCAATCGGACAAAAACGGAAAATTTCAGAACGATACGATGTTTTAAATATTCTCCGTTTAATCGGAGAATTTTCTATCTGAAAAAGGGGAATTTTTGCACCTTTTTCAAGAGGGGAAAGGTACCGTTTACCGGTAGTAAAAACAGCCTTGATAAATCCCTGTGGCCTGGCTGGATGAACCGCGCCATGACCATGAATGTAAGGAAATCACAATCATCCCGACGTTTGCGTTTACTTTACTTGGATATAGAAGCAAACCTCTGGCTGAAGCAGACTAGATCACGGACTAAACACATTAAATTTTTTAAATAGATAAAAATGGACAAAAACTGGCTCCGACATTATCGCAGAAAAATAGAAAAGACCTGAAATATCGGAAAATACTTGTAAATGTCGGATTCTTGGATTCAAATTAACGGAATTCAGCTAAATATGGGAAAAGAATCATCACTGATTTATTCATTTAAAAACTGAAACAAAGGGCACGTGCCTTCTACAATGCACTTGCCCAGATTAAAAATTTACTGGCCAAGACCAGTGGGCAACCAATGACTTTGAGTACTATTAAGGGAATGTCAGCAACATACCTTTCCAAATGAGCCTTGTCCCAACACTTTCAGGAGCTCAAAATCTTTAGGTTCCACCTTTTCTCCATCTTTCATGAGATTTGCCACATTTATCACCCTGTCCGTGTCGTTATCATTCTAATAAACAAAAAGAAAAAAATCTTCATAGAGCATCATCATAATTCACTCCTTAAATTCTCATCCCTCTCTTGGAAGAAAATCAAACTAAAAAGAATTTGCTGGCAAGTGGTCATATTTAAACCTAAGTTATAGATGGAATATAAAGAACATTTTCAACCAAAATAAATACTGTCTACAGACATAGTTATTTTCTCCCCATGTTAATTTCGCTCTTTCAAACTTGAAAACAATTCTGCCCAGTTTTAAATTCCCCAAATCAAAGTAATGTTTAAGAAATTTTGCTGAAGTATTTTTACTTGCCCTGTTTTCAATTCGCCCAAATGAAGGTAGGGCGAAAGGGGTAAAATTATACGGAGGCGAAAACTTCCCTGTATACAGTACTCATATTAAAGATTTCTTCAGCTTTTCACACAGAAAACTTATAACTGTGACTGAATTTTGGTACAGACAGACACAGGGATGAACAGGAAGTTGACACCAGATTCAAACAATAATAAATTCCACCATTAGAATGCCAAAACAAATAGTGTTCTATGATTTCAAGCATCTGTGATGAGTATTTGGTGAGAAAATTGGTGAAATTTGTTACGGACAGAGACAGACACACACACAAAGGTAACACAGTATACCTCCCTCTTCAGCAGAGCAGGGGTATTATTAGACGGTATAGCCCACTCTCCTTCAGAATGGAGCGATGATTAACCAAAGTGCACTGCATGACAATCTAATATCAACATTAAATCTACCAAGATTTCAAACATGTTAGTAACTCACAGATAAAGCCAGAGTCTGTGTTGTACAAATATTCTTGTGTCACTTCATGAAGAATACTATGCATACAAAATGCATACATTCTATTATACCAACAGATTAACCTGAGGTCTCTCAAATACATTTATAAGGAACAAGTCTAAACTAGAGAAGATAACTCTTACCTGTTCATCTACCAGCATGTCTTCAGTGGAGGGGGCCTAAAATGGGAGAAAATTCAAATATTAATCTAGTTTGATAGAAACTTTATGCCTACACAAGTTTATGATGTTTATGCATTTGTGTTTGAAATTCTTGTGATTAATGACTTAGTAGTCAGGGCTCTTGATTCTCTGTAATTGGGGCCGTTTATGGGCCCCATTCCCAATGCAAAAAAGGTACCTTTTTTCCCAATTGAATGTGTTAATTTTCCCAAAAGTCATTTCTCCCCAAAATTAAAGAAAAAATAGCTGGGTATGTAATAATAAAATTTGTTTTTTACATTCCTCTGTATTGCAAAACAAAAATTTAGTTGATAACAAAGATCAGAAACCCAGTATATCATGTTTATAGAGAATAATCATTATTTCCCAAAAATGTTACTATTTTTCCCAATTTCGATTGTCTATCAGGGGAGATTGTCCTATGAAATGATTCCAAGTCTTGAATGTGAGAAAATCTGATTCAGAATCATTTCTAATGGAATGTCTACAGCTGGTCTAAAGGGGTTTTTGATAATGTAGTATGAAAATTTTGGTCTTTAGAAACAATTAAGCTTGGCTAAACTAGCTGTCTTTTTTAATTAAATATTGAATCCAAGACTTGATTGACAGAGGCGTTAAGAGAATCTAAAACAGTTAAAATTAAAATCCCATAAATCATTGTTTCTTTAGTCAATTGAAATTTGTGGTAAACTAAGGCATAAAAAAGTCAAAAATTGTTAATTGTTTACACTAAGTCTATAAAATTACTATATATCATATCATATTAAATTCCGGACACCAAAAATACAAGGAGCAAAGAAAATTTGACAGACCTGTTCCTGTTATGACATCCTTTTTCAAAATTCCAACAATTATATTAACACCTTGACTTTGTATAAATTTATGTAAGAGTATACAAACTCAAGTTATCCTTAAAATAAACTGCTAAGAATTTATCATGCACATGTGATATTTTTAGTGATTTTCCTCTTTTCCTGTAGCATCATGAAAAGTTTATTCAACAGAACTAGTACAATATATTAGAAGGCCAAATAACTGATTTAAATACTCCGAAAAATTCTCTTAAGCCAATGGACCATGAAAATCGGGAAGCAGTCTTCGACATACAAGTGTTGCTAAATAAACATTTAGGCTATAACACGAGAATTCCGAAATTGTTTCACCGCCAATGTAACAAATGTTAACCTCAGTATCCTGGGCCACCTCCATCCTTTTCCAAGGATCTGCTAAGTGTGCCAGCGGCATTTTTGGACTATAAAGAGGAATTTTGGAAAGTTTAAGCGGCTTCCACCTTCCTCTACTTCAAACTTTTCAACTCTTCCACTTTAAGATGGCGGCTTCCCGTCTTGAAAACGAGGTCATTGTAAAAATCATACTTCCTGTGACGCAACCACCCTTGACATTTTGGCGGGAATCATGCATTCGGTTATTTATCCAACATCATCACATTAAAAAATATAAGTATTATCCTAATCATTCCTCTATTTTTAAAGGTCATTAATGAACATAATTAATTATCAACTGACTGAGATCTAAATATCCAAATTTCTCTTAAGTCATTTGTTTTGTACCATAAATATACTTTCACGCAGACACACAAATAAACTGGTTCATTCTACCTATTCCCACTTTTTGAAAATCATGTAGAAAAAAAGTAAGATTTTATGTGGGAATAGGTGGAATTTTGTGTAAACACATAATTAACTATGTTCTTGAATTTAAGTTTTAAGTTGCTTTTTCTTGTAAGATCTTTTTATTATTTCAAAAATCCGAAATAAATCATATTTTCTCATAGATGTATTCATTATTTTCTGTCTTAAAATGTACAAAATACAGGTAAATCTAAACATCTATTGTTATTTGCAAGTGGGAATAGGTGGAATTGAGATTTTTAAAAAGTGGGAATAGCTAGAAGACTTAAATTACGAGGAGCGCTGACTTTTACAGTTGATGGCTTACTTTTACACTAAGACAATGTATGGAAGCTCTTTTACGATATAAATATTTAGCTCAACATTTAATTAAACCAGGCGCGTAGCTGCCTATACGCAAGTACGCAAGTGCGTACACATCATTTTCCAAAAAAAGAAAGAGAGATAAAAAAAGAAGGAAAAAAAGAAAGAGAGAAATTTATTCGGGGAAAAAGAGACACCACCTGTGTTTCAAATTATTTTGCGTCTTATTGTTTGACTTTCGATTCAAATTTTGTTCAGCATGTCTGCACATTCAAATTTAGTCCTTTATGAAATCAATTCCAAAAACATCTTTCAACATTCTTGAGGAGAAAAATATTGTTGAACCAAAATGTTCAACTGTTAATCCGCGTAATCCTGATTATCCGGACAAATATTTGATGAAGGAAAGCGATCTAAGGGACCATGATCGAAAGAAAAAGTTACAAAGGTCTTGGACGACTATACAAGATTTTTCATTTCCGTAGAGGTAATGAATAAATGTCGTTAAACAATTTAAAGTATGGTGAACAAAGTAAATAATAATATAGCTAAAAATTCTTTTACTGATGTTACCAATTTAAAGAATTATATTATAACTGAAGCATTCTCGAATCGTTTCAGCTATCAAATATGAAGGTAATCAAAAGACAACAACTCCCCCGTTTATATTTTGTAATATAAATTTAAACTCCAGTGATAACGATATTGCGATTGCTACTTTTTTTTTCTTGATACACTTGGAAACTTTTTTCCAATAACAATATATGCGTAAATTAATTTGATAAATTATCGTTCTCTTCCCTAAGTATCGATGGAAGCAGTATAACTTAGCTAAGTATTTGCTCAAGAAAAGTGATTATCGTCATTTCTTTTGCAAGAAAATGACTGAAAAATTTCGTAAAATCCAGGAGCTTCCGGGGGTCTTCGTCCCCTGGGCCCCCACCAGGGCTTCGCCCTGGACCCACTGGGGGCCTCAAGGCGGCCCCCAGACCCCTGACCATTTTCTGCGTACACTTCATTTCCATGCTGGCTACGCGCCTGTAAACGAAAGTAACGGGTTATTTCAAAGCACAAATAATTTGTCCTGGAAGAAAACGACAACCGCCCTACCCTCAACTCCCGGCCTTCATGTTATTGCCCCTAACACCATATTTATGAACACTAAAAAGGTTTTCTGATCTATATTGACTTCTGTACCTCAATACAATGACAATGACAATGACAATGAATTTATTCTCATGAACTGACATAAGTACAGTGTTGAGAAAGATTACAAGTATAGTTAAACATATGTGCATGCGTGAAAAAGAAAAAAGTACAAAGTAACAAAACTAACAATGAGCTAACCAGGAGAGCCAACTCTCTCAAAAATAATTTTTATAAATTTACACAGTTTTGTCAATTTAACTGTATTTTTTGTATTAAAAAGTTGATCAAACTTATACACATTTGGATGTGAATAGTAATATTTTGATAATAATAATAACCTTGAATTCAAAATAAGTGAATCATTACAATTAAATAAGTAATGAAATTCATCACCTATTTCATTTTTGGAACACAATTTACAAATTCGGTTTTCTCTTGGTACATTATGCCATCTTCCAACTTCTATTGGTAATTTATTATTACAAGTTCTAAACTTACAAAATATTTTCCAGTACTTAAAAGGCAGAGATACTAAATACTTTTCTAGACAAAAAGAAGTTTTGTATATTCTATAATTAAGACCTTTAGACGAGTTAAACATTTCACTATACCACTTCTGTTTAAACTGATCATACAGAGTGTTAAACACTATTTTCTTCAGCCATGATACATTTACAGGTTGACAAGTATGCCAAATATAAGAAAGTCCACATTCATTCAATATAGATTTGACAAAGTTACACCATGGATTATTGTAGTTCTTTAAAACACTTAACAAATTCGATGATAATTTATCCCTTTGTAAAAAAGATAGTTTACACCAAAAACTTATCATTCTAACCTTTATATTAATTGAAATAGGGTATCTACCTAATTCACCATATACCATAAAATTTGGTGTTGATGACTTTACATACAAAATATGCTTACAAAATTTTAAGTGCAATTTTTCAATCAATGGTGACTGATTAAAACCCCACACTTCGCATCCATATAAAATCATAGGATTTACAATTTTGTCAAACATATCCAATGTGCATTCTATATTAAGGTTGTGTTTTCTACATTTTCCAATAACACTATACATAGCTTTTGTTGCCTTCTGAGATAATTCTTTAACATTTGTGTTAAATGAACCATTTTTACAAAAACTTACTCCTAAATATTTAAAATTATCTACGATTTCTAATGTTATTCCATTTAATGTAACTGGTTTTTCAATTCTTGGATTGCCCTTTCCAAAGATTACAATTTTAGTTTTATTGGTGTTAACTTTGAGATGCCATTGTTTGCAATATTTGTTAAATACATCCAATTGGTATTGTAAGTCTTCTGGTGTTTCTGACAAAAGGATCGTGTCATCTGCGTATAGCAAAACAAACAATCGAAGATACAAATTAAACTCCGATTCTAATTTAGACGTTATAAATGATAAACCTTTTACATTATTTAAATTCATGAAATCTTCAAGGTCATTTAGATAGATGGCAAACAAAAATGGGGATAGGTTTTCCCCTTGTCTAACACCTACAGTACAAGGAAAGGGATCAGAGTACAGACCATTTGAGACTACTCTTGATTTAATATTTTTATACAGCTGTGTTATAAAATTAAAACATTTACCATCTATGTTATTTAATAAAACTTTATTCCAAAGACCTACACGCCAGACAGAATCGAACGCTTTCTCAAAATCAATAAAGGCACAGTACAACCTTTTCCTATGATACTTAGATATTTCAATCAATGTATACAAAGTAAAAATGTGGTCCAAAGTAGAATAGTTTTTTCTAAAACCAGCTTGATTTTCTAAAATAAGGTGGACAGTATTTGCATAATAATTAAGTCTCTCATTCAGGATAGATGTAAACAATTTACCCAAACAGCTTATCAAAGTAATGGGTCTATAGTTTTTAGGATCTTTAGTGTCACCTTTGTTTTTATATAATGGAATAATATTTCCAAATGTCCACTGAGAAGGTATGATTCCTGAATCAAAAATCTTGTTAAATAATATTACATAAAAGTTTGACATAGTATCTACAGTAGATTTTATATATTCATTAACAATGTTGTCATGTCCACTTGACTTATCATTTTTCAGAGCATGTATACATTTTGTAATTTCTTCGTGTGTGATTGGTTGATTTATGCTGTTATTAAGTTCTAAATTTGACAACAATTTTAGTTCATCTTCAGTCAAAACGTTTTCGCTTTCTCCCTCTACTCCAGTGTTGCAACAATCTTTATAAAAATCATATAGTTTGGATAATTCTACATTACAGCATTTATTGTTTCCATTAGAGTTTAATATTTTCCAATAGTCTTTTGGGTTATATGATCTTAAATATTGTAATTTCCTTTTCATATCTGTCCTATGAAAATTTCGAGCAGATTTTAATTTTTGTTTAAACAACTTTTCCTTTTCATACAAATCTTCTTTAAAAATATTACCTCCAAATCGTTTAAACAGTTGTTGTGCTTTTTTAAAATTCCGTCTAGCAGATTTACAGTCTTTTGTGAACCATGGCTTTTTAAAGACACATTTTTTATTCCCCTGTGAAAAAGTGGCTTTTTTATAAACACCAAAAACTTCCTTAGCACTTCCAACTAAAACTTCACCAGCTTTTTCAACAATATTATCAATTAAATCTAATGAAACTTCATTACAGTTTAAAAGTTCTTCTTCTAAACCTTTAATGCAACTAACTTTATTTTCAACACAGTTTTGATAAGTCAATTTTTCATTATTATTCCACCTTTTAGCCTTTTCTGATTGGTCATTACAATTATATGGACTATTTTCTATATCTAAATTCATTGATTCAGGATGTATTCTTATTTTTAGTTCTATTGGATTATGCACATCTGAGTACAATGAAGAAAAAGCTAAAACAGACATTTCTGAAACTTGTTTGATAAAGTTAATATTTGCAATGCAGTAGTCTACTTTACTACAGTTTTTGCAAGTAAATTCACCGTTTATATCAGTGTTACAACGTCCATTTAGAATGTAAATATTACAGTTTTTACATAAAGTTAACAGTTTTTTACCAAATTGGTTCAATGTTTTGTCTTTTGACTTTCTATCAACAGATAAACCATAATTTTCAAGTCTTGTTACATCACATGTATCACTAAGAAAAATATTTTCATCTATAATTATGTCATTTGAAAATAAATGATCATTGTTATGAGAATTAATGTTTTCAATATAATCCTTCTCCATAGCAACCCTACTATTAAA